GACCTTCTTCCAAAGCAAAATAGAAAATTTTGTATACTACAATTTACTTTAAAAAGGCACAGAAAAATCAACATTTGCAAGGAAAAGAAAACAGGCTTTCTGCAATCTAATTTAACTTTCAAGCTGTATTCTTAAAACAAAACAGGCTATTGGATACACACTGTTGGAAGACTTCAACTACCTGCTTGGGGCATGGGATTCTGGCTAACTGAAGACCTTCTTTTGCATCAGCTCTCTTTGCAGAGTGCTTTGAGTGGCTTCAATGCCTTCTGACCCGGTAAGGCCAGTGGAGAGACTATGGTGGGCATAGGCTGCTCGTGCATGAAGGAGACTGGCAAGGACCTCCTGGGTGCAAACCCTTCTTCTGACAGGTGCTCACACATACCCACAGGTGTACCTGCATGAGGCTGGCTGGCTGGGGCAACAGCAATATGGCAGGCTAAAGTAGTAGTAAAAATCCCTGTGTAGGGCAAATATGAGACAGATTATACTCATAAGTGGTTAGTTTGCAATCTCTGGGTAGATTGAGTTAGATGTGAATTTCTCTTGGGGGCTATGGGAAGGGAAAGTTATTTTGTTTTTGTTTGACTGTGGATTCCTGGTAGGAATGCCTTTTTTCCCATTCCTTTGTTTTTAACTTCATCTGCACAGAATTGATTAACCACTGTCCATGTTTAAGAGGCTCTCACACCGCTTTGTGTGTGTGGCATCATTTATTTATTTAAAATAAGTACCCTAACCCACCACTCTACTTGAAAACTAAGACCTTGATAATCTCTATGTACACCTGTGGCTCCCCCTTCTCTCCATCCCTTTGCCTCCTCTCTACCAAAGTAGCTAAGGTCCTGTACCCAGATTCATCACTCCCTTACTTCCTCTTCAGCTAGCTCAAGACCTTTCATGTATTTTAAACAGTTTGTCCATCCATCCATCCATCCATCCATCCATCCATCCATCCATCCATCCATTACTGGTCTTGGTTGAATTTTATCTTTGTAAAAATGATACTATAGTCCATGTAATCTTTTGGAACTTAATTTTTTCAACTAGTAGGTGCTGGGATATAGTTTAATTATTTAGACTCCTGTGTAATAGTCCATTGTGAGAATATCTTACAGCACATTCATGCATTCTCCTATTGGTAGGAACTACTCTGTTTCCAGGTGAATAGGGCCCCAGGGATGTTTGCTCCCTGGCAGGCAGGAGCAGATACTCAGGAGTGGGATTGCTGGTCATAGGTGTGTCAATGTTCCACTTGGAGAGTTAGTGCCAAAGTGTTTTCTAATGAGGCTGCCCCAATTATGCTGCCCCAATCAAGTCATAAAGTATCTTGTGATCCACATTCTCTTTAGTGCTTGGGATTGTCTGTCTTGTACATTGTAGGTGACTGAGTGGGCATCGTCCCTGTGGATGGCCTTGACTGGCATGTGTCTGATCACTGATAAGGCTGGACATCATTTATATATTCACTGGTATATTTCCCACAATAGTTCTTCTGTCCACCTTCTCATGATCTCATTGAAGCTTTTCTTACTGATTTCTGTGAATTCTTTACACATGCTTGATACTAAACTCTTGTTGGTTATAGCTTATAAATCTCTTTTTACTTTCTTTAGAGTCTCTTTTGATAAAGAAATGCTCTTCTTTGTAATGTAGTTAAATTATTTGTCATCTCTCTTATAGTTACCCCTTTCCAAGTCCTATTTAAAAAAATCCTCCCCAACTTCAAAATCTAAAGGGTTTCATTTAGTGATGCTAGTGAGTTTCATTTAGTGATGCTAGTAATACTTATCATTTCCCTGTTTAAAAAAAACAAGTAGAGAGAACACATCTGATTGGGGTTGGATGAGCCTTGGTGTGAAGTCATGTTTTCTGACTTGTTAGGGATGTTCAGTGTTCCGTGTGGGTCCTTGCATTTAAAAGGGGTCATTACTGGTGTTGATTCCAGACTCTGCTTCATGTCATTACCTGCAGTCACTAAGCAGGCGGGCCTCCTACGGACCGTGGTTTCCATGCATTTTAGGTTCCTGACATTCCAAGGATGCGGGAGGTCTTGCCTGGTGAGGCAGGAGCTCTGAGGCAGGAGCTCCGTGCGTGTGCAGGTTGGCATCCATGCCCACACAGCCAGCTCATCCCACTGTGGACTCATCACTGGGAGGAAAGCAACACGTGTTCTAGAACAGCTGTGTGCACAGGGCACAAGTGCACCCTGGCTTGTGCCACTGTTCCTCAGAACCAGCAGAGGGGGTCAGTCTGGACACACTGCAGAGTGAACACTGAGGCCATGCTGCATGGGCTGGGCCTGCGTGGGGAAGCAGCGCAGCACTAAGCAAGAACTGCATTCCTGCCAGTGTCAGAAGCCCCTCAGCTACAGCGTGGCAGCTCACAGCAGTGGTCTCTTCTATTCCTGCCAAGGTTAGTTTTGGATCACCAGGCAGAGCTTTTCTGGGTCAGAGTGGTAACTAGGAATGCGGGGCTGAGATGGAATTGAAACCCAGAATGCCATTGCCTCTGGTTGCATCACCTCCTATTAGACTCTGAGAGTGCTGTCCTTCCCCAAGGCTAAGCACTGACAAGCTGCCTGAGGCCTGGAGGGCCCTGTTGGTTGGTGCCGAGGTGTGGACCTTATCACCACTGTAGAATGGGGTGCTCCTGCACTGGGTCTGGGGCATGGCTTGCTCTCCTGGCCTGCCTGGCTCCCCGACCTCCTTTACTGCTCCCCTCCACCCTCCACCCAGGAGTTTGTCCTGCATCACTTCACACTCCCCGTCCTGAAGCCTCCTCTTCATTTGGTGCTGATTGTCACGTGGGGCCCCTGTCCCACAGCCCCTTTGAACAGACCAGGCTCGGCCCAGAAAGCTGGTACTAGAGAGCTTTTGAATCGGCCACAGTACGCTCTTCCTAAAATGAAATAAATTGTCTTGTCCTCACACCCCCGTCCCTCTCTTGCCTGGACTGGATTGAAAATTCAAAGGAAAACGTGGTTTGGGTGGTGAGTCCAGTCCCATGGTTTCCATTTTTGGTGGGTGCTGTCCCTTCTGGCTTATACACATTCCACAAAATTCAGTGGAGGCCACATTCAAAATCTAAAGGATCTCATCTACATTCTCTAAGAGTTGCAATTAGTGATAAGAGCACCATGTACTAATAATCGTTTTCATCTTGGAGTGCTGCATGAGGGACCCCAAGGAGGGGTGCCTGTCACTCAGGCCTCCTTCAGTCTGCTTTGTGGGTCTGCACACCTCACGTCTCCATCAGGGATGCTGCCCACCATGGTGGTCCCAGGGTCAAAGGGATTTGCTTTAGCTTCCTGTGAATGCTTGGCTGCAGACTCCTTGATCCCAGTCTGACTTCCATTGATTCCACTGGGGGTTAAGTTCCCACTTCAGGGAACTTGCCCAACCTCATCCCAGATCTGCTTCCTAGAAGTCCCAGGTCCAGGAGGAGACATAGAGCTCGTTCCTGGGGTGTGGGGTGCTGTCTCTCTGCAGCTGAGAGGGCGGTTCCCTAGGTCACCTGTCTCCTCTCCCCTGGCATATCAGCCCAGGCCAGTCGCTTCTGAGCAGGGAGCCTCCCTGATCTGGTTGCTGTGTGCACAGGGGGCTGGTTCTGGTGCTGGGAATGCTCCCCAGCGCCCAGCCCTGCAGTGAGCTGGCACCACGTCAGTTCATCACTGACACATCGTTTCCATTCAGCCTAGAGTCGGGGAAGTGCCTTTTTCTTTTCAAGCACAGAGGGCCTCTATTTAACATGACATTAGCCCACTGCAGTATTGAGTTAAATATAAAAAGAGATGATCCTTCTGGACAGAATCACTATCCACCACACAAAATGATTAAATTTACAGCTCGATTGGTGCTGATCAATATAAATGAAATGTGAAACAACTTAATGTATCCACCAAAACAGCGGCTTGACATGGCACCCTGACAGGCTGGACGGCCCCTCCCCACCTTTGCGCTGGGAGTCTCCGCATACGGACAGTCCAGAGGCACTGTCCTGGAATTTTTTCCCCTGGAATAAATTCAGCAATACTTTGCCAAATTAGTCTGGATGGGCTGAATTACACCACAATAACAAACAACCCCAAAGCTCCGTGGCTTGAATTACAAAGCAGGGGCTTGAATCAAACAGGGTGATTGCTCCTTTTGCTGCCTTTCTAGTCCCTGCCAGGAGGGGAGGCTCCGCCCATCGTAGATATGCCGGACCTGGACCTGTGGGGTATTTACTGCTTGGAATGTCGCCAGTCATCTTAGCAGCGTAGGAGCGTGCATCAGAGGGTCTTGCACTAGCATCCAAGGGCCTGGGCCTGCATGGCCCTTCTGTTCACAGCTCACTGGCCAGAGCTGATTGCAGTGCCCTAATTGCCCCAGGGTGCCTGGAAGCTGCCCCCGAGCCAAGTGCCAACCAGCAGAGAGGTGGACGCGATTGGTGAGCAGCAGCAATGACAAGCATCCTTGTTTAAAAATTGGCTAGAATCTAAGTGAATACATGGGATCTGGCCATTTAATACGTCCTGTCATGAAATGAAGAATGAGGGCCCCCGAGGCATGTCTCTTTCTTTAGGACCTGCCCAAACGCATGCATTTCTGAGACTCACCACAATCTCTGTGCGTGAACAAAGTGTGGAATGCTTGTCTTCTCGAATCTCCTTCCCAAACCAGTGGTGAATCCAGTAACTGTGAACACACCTGGTGTAAGAACCCGAGTGGGTGCCGTACAGTGAGTTTAAACCACAAGGCATAGGTGGCCCTTGGGTTATACCACATCTCTTCCCAGCAGTCCAAGGTTGGGGGCTCCTCTGGCTCCTAACTGGGTGAGACCCCTTTCACCGTGTGGGGCTGGGCCAGCGCTCCTGTCTGCTCAGCATGACCTCTGCCAGGTGCCCTGAATCCTCCCGCCTGGGCTGTATTCAGCAGAGGGTGCAGCTGGCACCAGAGAACGGGAGGTCAGGCTGTGCCAGGCACTGAGGCTTAACATCATACATGCCTGTAGAAAGGTTATTTCAAAGTTGTTTTTTATTCAACTGTTATTCAGCAATATACAATACAGTTTATAAACAAGTATCTGACCTTGTTTCCAAGCTTTATTTAAAAATAAATATTATTGACAGTGGATTTTAATTGATAAGATGTATCTTTTTTAATCAAAATGTCTCAAAAGAAATAATTTACTTTAATTAAAAAAAAGAGAGCCCCCCCCCAAACGAAAAAGGAAATAAAAATCCTAAACACAATAATCTGCTAAAAATATTTTGCTTTGTCAGAAAGGCTTTGACCCAGCGTTTTTACATGAGATCCTAGAGATAACTGCTCAACAGTTCGTGCAAAATGAAGACTTGGAGGAAAAGTTTAGGAAAGAAAAATACATCAAAGTAGAGAAATCGGGTGATTCCATGCGACTGCACGGTCCAGACTCCATCTTATTTGGAAACTAGATGCATTACTTTAGGTGTTCTACATTTGTGTAACTTCCCCAAAAATATGATTTTTTAAATTTTCCATGTGGACTTTGTCATGCTTTTTCCAGTCTGTGTCCATCCGCCACGTCTTCACCCAGGTCCAGCGGCGAGGTCCGGCGGCGCGGGCTGCGAGTGCTCGGGCTGGCCGCGAGTGTCAGTGCCCCAGCAGCAGGCGAAGGAACTTATGCAGAGCTAACAGGAGCAGGGAGAGGAGTGGGTCTGTGGCGGAGCTGGGCCCGGTGCCTGCAGACCAGAGAACCGCATTGTTAGTCTGATTCAGGGGACCCCGGGGCTGACCAGGGAGTGCCCACCCGCCTGGGCCTCGGACCTCAGCCGGGGCCAGAGCGCAGGGCTGCTCCGTGCAACGCTCAAGCATTTGCTCCTGTTTGTTACAATATTTACCAGCCACGTGCTTTGGGGCCCGCTGTGGTGCCCAGGCCTGATGGGGGCATGCTAGGTTATATACAGTTCTAACAAGCCATACCTTTAGTCCAGTGAAAAGATAATATGGGGCCTCCCACGTGGAGCAATGGGTTAAGCACCACACTGTGAAGCAATCCGCAGCCTCTGCAGCAGGAGTTCCATCTCCAGCCTGGCCAGGGAGCTACCCACATGGCGCAGCAGACCTCTCCTGTCTCCCCTGCTGCTCCCCTCACAGTGTATTTCAGTCAGTCTGCCTGTTCTGTTCCCCGCTCTGTCTCTGGTGAATCCCCTCACCCCCCACATCTCTGGCCTGTACCCCAGCTCTTGTGTGCATAAATAAATCTTTAAAAAAAAGATAATATGCACCCTCCCCACTCACCCCATATAATGCTACAAAGTGCCCTCCACATTTGAGGCCCAGCTTCCCCCTCCTCTAGGAAGATTTCATGATTACAAACAATTCCACAAGTCTCCTCTCCTCTGAGCCCTGCCTGAGTCGCACCCCTCAGCATTCCACAAACGGTCAGCACTTCGGGCTGCAGCTCAGAAATCACTGGATGGTGGAGGTAGGTGGGTTAGGGCACCCAAGGAGTGACCCTAGCACTATTCTGGTAGGAGGTCACCTTTCCCCCTTGCTTTTACATTGCTCCAGTAACTTGGGCCCCAGGTCGACCGACCACTGCACACCTGTGCCTCCACCCTGCCTCCCCCTCCCCCCGTCCTCTGTCAACAGGGTCTTCATGTGCAGGAAGTCTCCTGTGCAAGTGGGGGAAGGTGCAGCCATGAACCCCAGGCTGCTTCTGAGCCTACAAGAGAGGTCAGTGCAGAAGTGCCTCACACACCTGAGGGGCTGCCTGATCCTTAGGATGTCACTGCTAACTCCCACAGAGGTGGTCTGTATTAGGAGAGGTTTCTAGCTGCTCCCTGCTCTCCTGCCTTGGCGGGAGCCTCTCCTCCCCACCCAGCCAGCCAGCTGGGTTGCAGCTCCACGCCTGAGAGGAGATAAGCAGGGGGCCCTTCCCCGTGCCAAGTGGATGGCACTGAGCTATGTCCACCACCACAGAACGTGGTGAGCTGCAGGAGTCACTGCCAGGCTGGCCGGGTCTGTGACTCTCCTGGCAAGGCTGGGATGGCAGAACTTGGGACTCCCTGCCCTCCCGGAGGAAGAGCTGTCAGAGCGTCCTTCCAGGGCATTTCCAGGCCCCACATCACCCTGCTCTGGTGACGAGTTCCTGTGTCTCAGAGTTGACTTCCAGGCCTGCCCCCTGTAAAAGGCGGAGGCCACACAAACGGACCAGGGACCATTCCATCTTGAGTGACCCAGATTCCATCTGGTCATTTTGGGAAACAAGGGCTGTGTCCACACATCTGAATCCAAGGGGGTAAGGCCGCCCACTGTGTGCATCTCATCTTCCGTTAATCATTTCTGAGCACAACGCTGGGCCCTGCTGAGCAGCTCAAGGAAGGGCAAATCCAGATGTGCCCACCATCCCCGCCAGACATGGTTTTTCAGAGTGAGTGCTCCAGGCCCTTCCTGCATGGCCAAGTCGACCCTCCTCCTGGCTGCTTGTCACTGGCCCAGTGGTCACTGCACAGGCGGGGGTTCTTCTTGCTGTTCCTTGTTGTCACACGTCCCTGGAAGGCTCAGAGTAGACGTGGTGACAGACAAGTTGGAAGAGCTGGACGGCCAGGAGCCTGGGCGGAATTCACAGGCCTAGGTGCACGGGGGCAGAGGGACATGGTGGGCAGCGCTGCTCCCGGCACATGTGCCCTGGTGGCCAGACTGCCCAGGACTTGCAGATCTCCTGGCTCTGACCTTTCTGGCCCTGAAAATGGTGACACTTGGGCAACTGCAGGTGATGCAGAAACAACTCTGTGGGGTGTTTCAAACTGATGTATGTGTGCAGTAGACTCCAGACCCTGGAGGGGGACAGGGGCACAGCAAACTGCTGGCAGCCAGGGAGGTGACTGTGGCATAGGAGACGTGAGGACAAGTTCTAATTTGCCTCCTAATGCTGCCCAATGGTCTCCCACTACTCTACTCTCACCTACTCACGTTAAAATTGCACAAGACTTTCAAAAGACCCTGGATTGAGATAACCAGTCTCACTGCAGACTGTATTGGGGGTGGGGGAGGAGCAGCAGGGGCTGCAGGGCTGTTGTGGTGGTTCCTAGAGGCCATTGTCTGGGGTGAGGGAGGAGCGGGGGACACCAGGGACTGCGGTGTCTGCTGGTGGCCGTCTGCAGAGGCGGCCAGGGTTTGGCTGGCCAAGGACAGCTTCCTGGCCTAGTCTTGTGAACTTACTGTGCGACCCTGGGTGGGACCCTTTACCTCTCTTGGCCTTACGTCATGCTTCATAAAATGGGGGCCCTACGTCATGCTTCATAAAATGGGGGAACAGGTCCCCTTGTTCCCCCATGTATCCCCTAGCATCCACACCTATGAGTGTCCTCCCACCCAGGCCACAGGCTTGCAGTGAAGACGATCACTGATAAAGCCAGCAAAGGCTGGCAAAGTGCTTGTGTACACAGGCTTTTACTTTATCCCTTGCTCCCGGGACCCATTGACATGTGAGAAGGGTGGGGCCAATCCAGCGCAGGTAAGAGCCCAGAGCTGCCCCAGCTGAGGCCCCTCCACATAACCGGCCTCCAGCTGAAGAGACAGTGGCCTGGAGGAGCTGGAGGCTGATGCCTGTGGGTGAGGCTGTGGGGGGACACCGGGGGCTGGAAGGGATGCCATGAGTGAGCCCACCAGAGATGGAAGAAGAGCTGCCCGACCCACCACAGAATCAGGAGCTAAGTCAGTTCTTGTGTCACAGCAAAGCCACTAAGTGTCAGGGTCGTTTGCTACAAAACAAAAGCTAATGGACAACAATCACATAAACAAAAGAGCCTCAAACAGAGTCAAATGTCAATAGGTGTTACAAAAAAGGAGAACATATAAATATTTAAAAAATATATACACTGAAAAATAACAATTAAAAAATACACACACACATGGAATTCCCATGAGTTCATCCACTGGAGATGGGAACTAATTGTTAATGAGCTTAAAAAATAATGAGGAGCTCATGGCAACTTTTCTGAAAAGTGCTGGAGGAGAATGAATTTGGGGGGTTGTCCTTACTTAAGAGGACATTTTCCAAGGGAGAACAGGCAGGATAAACATCTCTCCTGCAATTTGTTTTAAGACAGACATACATCCTTGGATTTTCGGTGAAAGAAGAGCCTAGATTTTGGAGCTTCTTGCTATATTACTCCCCCTATCAAAGGCTCATTCAGTTTCCCCAGGAATCCCCAAGGAGGACTGACTGGTCTTGGAGGAGGAGGGTTTTCATGCCAGAGTGGGCTCAAAGTCAGGAGCCTCAGCCCAGGTCACCTCTCCCCAGGAGTTCTCCTTGGAGGGAGGCTGACAATTGTCTTGCACTTGGCTGCTGGCACCCTCAACACTGTAGCTCCAACCCCAGACTCACTGTTTCCTGGAGGGGCCAGGAACACCCACTGCTGTCTGGGGCTCTCCTTGACCCTCCACAGCAGGGGACAGAGGTCCTATCTTCAGCCTAGCCACTTCTGTTAAGTGGCCTGCAGACATCTGCGTTGCAGGGACACGGAGGCTGCTCTGTTGATTGGAAGCTAATGGTCTCTTTATCTGTTTCCTCCTTCTGAAGGAGCGCCAGGAATAGCACCAACACGCAGGACTTTATTAGTCATGATTAAGCTGGAAATTCAGGCTGCCTGAGAGTGAGGGAAGCCCTCTGACAGAATAGCAGTTGATTCATTCTTTGTATTAAACAAGTATCACCATTTTGTTAATCAGTCTTAAAGAGATCAAAGCTGCTCTGGCTGTGTGAATATTAACTTTTATCATTTATATGGTGAGTGGGATAAGGTGCAGCCTGGAGCCATTTAAAAGAGACCTTCAGAGAACCAGTGGCGCATCCAGGCCCCAGTGGGCACACCCACGGCGCCAGCCCAAGTGGTTTCTGGTGCAGAAATTGCCCTTTTTTTTTTTTTTTTTTTAAGATTTATTTATTTATGCATAGAAGAACTGAGGTGTAGGCCAGAAGAGTGAGGGTGGGTGTGAGAGGATTCACCAGAGACAGAGTGGGGAGCAGAACAGGCAGACTGACTGAAACACACTGCTGAGGGGAGCAGCTGGCGCGGCAGGAGAGGTCTGCTGTGCCCTGTGGGTCAGCACCCTAGCCGGGGAACAAACTCAGGCCATTGTGTTGACAGCGCTGAGTCTTAACCCCCAGGCTACTAGGGAAGCCCCAGAAATTGCTCTTTTCCATTTACCCTCAGAGGCAGAATTCCAAAGGCCCGGTCAGAAAACAACATGGAAACAGAGGTCATTCAAAGCCTGAGGAAAGGACAGGAAGCAGCTTCCCTTAGCAGTCCTCTGGGATGCTGCCCACACTGGCCGGAGGCCAAGATCTTGAGTCAGATTCCTGGGGTGATGCTGGGGTGGCAGCTGTCACCCCACGCAGGTCTGGACGCCCACAGGCATGGGGGCACTAAGAGGAGCACTCCCTCCCTGTCACTCCTCAGTAGACAGCGGGGACAGCTCGGCCGCCTGCCCTACCTGCCCTCCCAGCATCGTGGGTGCTCCCCCAGGCTGGAGGGAGCCATGGCCCCTGCTCCTTGTGGGCTGAGGAACCTGGGACTGGTTGGTCACTGCTGCTGGCAGCCCAGGTACCACAGCTGAGGGGCAGGTCCAGGGCGGGAGTTTGCCAACAGTGCCCCTCAGAGTCTGGGGTTGCTGTTTCTTTCTTTTCTTTTTTGGCTATAGTTTAAAAACTAAAATCTATTTCAAGCTTGAA